ACACCCACACACACCCACACACACACACACGTGGAGGGATGAGAGGGAGAGAGAACAAATGTGACAAGATGTTAACAGTTGGTGAACGTAGATGAAGGGTATAAATGGGAGTTCATTAACTTAGTCTTGCAACTTTTCTGTCAATTTAAATTTTTTCAAGAAGAAAAGTGTTAAAAAATTCCCTCATTTATATTCTATTTAGAAGAAACATACGAAAATAAAAATAAAGGGATGGCAAAAAAATAGCCAGCAAAAATAAAGTATTAGAAGTGAATGTTAAAAATGCTAAACTTGATAAAGAAGGACATGATGTAAAAGGCAACATTTATGAAGACGATGTAGTAATCAAGTATATGCCTCAAGCAACAGAACAGTTAAATGCATAAAAGTAAAAATATTAGAAGAATAAAGACAACTGGATAAAAATACCTTTGTGGTGAGAGGTCTCAATACACAACAGACAAAAATATGCAAGGATATATAGGAATGGAAAATATGTATGCTGTAAATAGTATATGGTAAACAATCTATAATATATACAATATAAATATATGTAACCTTATATTCTACAAATGAACTTACTTTGTTTACAAAGAAAACATTAACAAATTTTTTAAAATTAAGGTTTCACCACACATATTTGCTGATTATCATCGAATAACATTGGAAGTAAACAATAAACAGATGACCAAAATGTCTTCTCTATTTGAAAATATGAAATATACTCCTAAATAACCCTTGATTCAAAGACAAAATTAAAGGGAAAAATAGAAACTATCTGGAAAGCCTTACATAGAGAAAAGAAAAAAAATTTTAAACATATTTTCTCTTGGTCTTTCTTTATCCTCTCATAAAGTCAAAAGTAGATGATTTCATGTAATTGATTTTTGGAGTAGTTCAATAGAAAGTTTAATTAAATGCATATTCTTTGATTGGTACAGAGATACAACTCATCTTTTTGTGAAGTTCAATTTTTATTTGTTTTACTAGACTCCAAGTTATTTGTGAGTGTATTATCACTTTCAAATTTCTGACATGGTTATTAAACTTCAGTTTATAGTAATCTGAAATTATATTTTGGATTTCAACAGCTTACAAGAATGTCTGGAAAGACAACATATATCTCACTTTTGTGATGTTGAAGATAATACAACGGATGTTAATAAGTTTATTGATATCTTCTTCCCTAATTTTAAAAATATGAAAAGCATAAAATTAGAAAGGATAATGGCATTACTTCGACCAGATCTCTTTCAACAAAGGAAAGGTAAGAAACAAAGCACAACTTAAGTATTTTGTACCTGGGATTTGAATAAACTCTGGTATAATTACATTACAAGATATTATTTTAAAGTTTAACATTGAAGAAAAAGCACCTGAAGTAAGAAATTTAGTTAATATTAATTTACTGAATTCTCAACAATGAAGAATAAAACATTTTTTAGTTAAAAGAGTTTACAAAGCACTTTCTACTTTATGAATTTGTTAGAGTAGATTTTATCATGGCAGGAATTTATTATATAATAAAGATTTGAAGCTTTCATGTCTGAAATGCCTTAATTCAAAGCTTGAGTCAACCCCTCATTAACAGTGTGATTTGAACACGATATTTTACCAAGTCTACTTTTTCCTGTGTAAAATTCAGAAGGTTAAAATGAGAAAACATAGATAAAGTGCCTGGCACTTGAAAGGTGCTAGTTATTTTGAACTTCATCCTGTATTCACACAGCAGAGTGAATACGGCAGAGTAAGAACAAACCATAAACTCACACTATTAATTCTTTTTTATACCTAGTGTATGTTAATATAATTGATATTTGTATATTGACCTTGTATTCTCTGACTTGCTGAACTCACTTAGTCCTAGAAGCTTTGACATAGATTCCTCGGGAATTTATATGTAGACTAGGGTTTCTAACCTCAGACCTCATTATATTTGGGACTAGATAATTCTTTGTTGAGGGGAGCTGTGTCATGGCCAATGTAAAATGTTTAGCAACATCCGTGGCCTCTATTCACTAGATCCTGGTAGCATCCTCCTCACTCCCAGTTATGACAACCAAAATTATCTCCAGATGTTGTTAAATGCATTGTCAAGATTTTAGGGGACAAAATCTCTTTGCTGAGAACTGTTGATGTAAACAATAATATAATCTGCAAATTGAGACAGTTTTACCTCTTCCTTTCCAATTTATATGCCTTTTATTTCTTTTGCTTGCCTGATTGGACTAGCTAGAACCTCCTGTACAATGTTGAATAGGAGGGCCAGAGTAGACACATTTGCCCTCTTCCTGATCTTATAACAAAAGCATGCAGTCTTTTACCATTAAGTATAATATTAGTTGTATATGTCTTTTATCAGATTAAGGAAATTTTCACCTACTCCTAGTTTGGGGAAATTTTTTATCATGAATGGATATTGTATTTTCTCAAGTATTTTTTTCTGTATCTACTGATATGATTATAGTTTTTTTTCTTGAGTTTGATAATATGGCTTACTTGGACTTTTGAGGGTTGAACCAGCCTTGCATTCTCCAGATAAACCACACTGGTTGTTGTATACTGTCCTTTTTGCATATTGCTGGATTTTATTTTTTACTATTTTGTTAAGGACTTTTGTGTCTATATTCATGAGGGATAGTTGTTGTTTTCTTGTAATGTTTTGATCTGGTTTTGGTGTCAGGGTAATGCAGGCCTCAAAAAATGAGATGAAACGTAGTCACCCCTCTTCTATTTTCTGGGAGAGATAGTATAGAATTGATGTTACATCTTTCTTAAATGTTGACTAGAATTGACCAGTGAAACTATCTGGTCCTAGAGTTTTCTTCTTTGGAAAGTTTTGTTTTGTTTACCTTTAAAGAGTTTAAAAAATATATGCATATTTTTTAAAATGAGTAGACTTCATATTTTAGAACAGTTTAGATTTACAGGAAAAATTAGGTAGAAAAATTAAACGGTTTTAGATTTGTAGAAAAATTAAGAAAGATAGTACAGAGTTCCCATATGCCTGCTTCCCAGCAGTTTCTCTTATGAACATCTTTTGTTATTGTGATACATTTTTATAATTAATGAACCAGTGTTGATACAACGTTATTAACTAAAGTCCATAATGTACATTGTTTCACCCTTTGTTTTGTACATTCTGGGGGTTTTGACCAGTGCAGAACATCGTGTATCCCCTTTACATATGGTTCAAAATAAAATCACTGACCTAAAAATCCCTTGTACTTCATTTGTTCATCTTTCTCTTCTTCCCTCCTAATCTCTGGCAACCACTGATCCTTTTGCTGTGTCTGCAGTTTTTCATTTTTCAGAATGTCATATAGTTGGATTTATACAGCATATAGCTCTTTCACACTGATTTCTTTCACTGGATAATATACATTTAAGCTTCCTCCATGGATGTTTTTGTGGCTTGGTAGCTCATTTCTTTTTATTGCTAATAATATTCTATTGCATGGATATACCAAAGCTTATCCGGTTGCCTCTTAAAGTATATCTTGGTTGCTTCCAGTTTGGGGCTATTATGAGTAAGGCTGCTATAGGCATTCATGTGCAATTTTGTGTATGTGTGGACATAAGTTTTCAACTCATTTGAGTAAATACCATGTGATTACTGGATCATATGGTTAAACAATGTTTAGCTTTGTAAGAAACTGCCAAAATACCTTCCAAAGTGGTTGTACCATTTTCCATTCTCAACAGCAGTGAATGAGAGCTCCTCTTGCTCTACATCCTTGCCAACATTTGGTATTTTAGATTTTTTTCTATTCTAATAGGTATATAATGGCATCTCATTCTTGTCTTAGTTTACAATTTCCTAATGACATAGCCAGCCCTAGTGATCTAGTGGTTAAGATTCAATGCTCTCACCTCCATAGCCAGGGTTCATTTCCCAGTCAGAGAACCACACAACCTGTCTGTCAGTTATCATCCTGTGGTGACTGCGTGTCGCTGTGATGCTGAAAGCTATGCCACTAGTATTTCAAATACCAGCAGGGTCACCCACGGTGGACAGTCTTCAGCAGAGCTTCCAGACTAGACAGACTAGGAAGAAAGACCTGGTCACTCACTTCTGAAAAAATGTGGCCACGAACACCCTATGAATAGCGGCGGAGCATTGTCTGATATAGCACCAGCAGGTGAGAGGATGGCGTGAAAAGACGGCAGCGTTCCACTCTGCTGTACACAGTGTCACTAGGCATTGGAATGGACTCTGCAGCAGTAATAAAAATGACATATGATGCTGAGCATCTTTTCATGTGCTAATTTTCCATCTCTATATTCTGTGATGAGGTGTCTCTTCAGATCTTTTGCCCATTTCTTAATTGGTTGTTCACTTATTCTTGACTTATAACAGTCTTTTGTACATTTTGAATATGAATCCTTTATATATATGTGGTTTGCAGATATTTTTCCAGGTTTTTGGCTTTGTGGTTTTTGGCTCTGTGTTTGTAAATATTTTCCAGGTTTTTATCTCAATAGTTTTTTAAACTTTCACAAAAAAATTTATTTTTAATACAGTTCAACTTATCAATATTTTTCTTTTTTTCTTTTACTACGTATCCAAAAAATCATTGCCAAAACCCAAAGTCACCTAGATTTCCTCCTTTGTTATATTCTAGGAAGTTTATAGTTTTGTATTTTACATTCAACTGTGTAAGCCATTTGAGTCAATTTTTGTGAAAGGTGTAAAGTCTATGTCTAGATTAATTTTTTTGCATGTGGATGTGCCAGCATCATTTGTTGGAAAGACTATCATTGCTGTCCTGTATTGCCTTTGCTTATTTGTCACAGATGAGGTGACTATATTTGTGTGTCTTTTTCTGGGTTCTCTATTCTGTTCCATTGATCTGATGTGTCTGTTCTCTCATCAGTTCCACACAGTCTTGATTGCTGTAGCTTTATAGTAAGTTTTGAAGAGGGTAATATCAGCTCTCTAGCATTGTTCTCCTTCAATATTGCATTGGCTATTCTGGATCTTTTGCCTCCCATATAAACTTTAGAATCAGTGTGTCAATACCCATCTCCACAAAAAACTTGCTGGGCTTTTGACCGGGGTTCTGTAGACCTAGAGATCAAGTTGAGAAGAATCAACATCTTAACAATATTGAGTCTCCCTATCCATAGGCAATGAATATGTTTCCATTTATTTAGATCTTTGATTCCTTTCATCAGAGTTTTATAGTTTTCTTCATTTGGATACTGTACATATTTTTTAGATTTCTACCCTTGTGTTTCATTTTTTGTGCTAATATAAATAGTATTGTTGAAAATTTCAAATTCTAGTGTTAGTTTCTGGTATATAGGAAAGTAATTGACTTCTGTATATTAATTGTAACCTGCAACTTTGCTGTAATAGTCTCTTATTAGTTCCAGGAGTTTTGTTATTGTTGTTTCTTTGGGATTTTCTACATAATTGTGTCATCTGTGAACACAGACAGCTTTATGTCCTCCTTCCCAATCTCTGTACCTTTTATTTCCTTTTCTTGTGTTATTTCACTAACTAGGATTCCCAGAATGATGTCGAATAGGAGTGGCGAGAAGGGATATCCTTGCCTTGTTTCCAGTCTTAGATACAAAGCATCTAGTTTCTCTCCATTAAATATGACATTATCTGAAGGATTTTTATGCATGTTCTTTAGTAAATTGAGGAGGATTCTGTTCCTAGTTTGCTGAGAGCTTTTGTTATGAATGGTTGTTGGATTTGTCATATTCTTTTTCTGCATCTATTGATGGGATCATATGATTTTTCTTCTGTAGTCTATTAATGTGCAGATTATATTAATTGACTTTCAAATGTTGAACCAGCCTTGCCTACCTGGAATAAATCCTGCTTTGTTGTAGCGTATACTTTTTTGTGCATTGTTGGATTTGATTGACTAATATTTTGTTGAGAATTTTTCCATCTGTGTTCATGAGATTATTTCATGTGACTGGCATGTTTCCACTCCTCACCCCTTTCCGGCACTCCTAAGAATTTTTGAATTATGCAACATACATATTCTGGCTACTTCATTTTCTAGCACTCTTACTGCAAAGTCCCTAGAAAAGAACATACCGTTAATAAGAAGGAACAAGCATTGAATCCATAGATGGTATATGAAAATTGAAACTGCCTGTCTTCAGTGTGAGTTGGTGGATGACTGCTGCCTCATTCATGTTGGATAAGGATGTCAGGGCATTTGTGTCTGGTTCCTGACTGACCTCTATTGGATGCTGCCTCAGGCAGTCCTCTTGGTTCTTTCATGTGCCCAGAAGGCTTAG